AATCACGCCATATTTTATATTTTATTGGCTTGAATTCTATTTAATCTCAACGTTCAACCTAGATAATCACAAAAATTAGAGATTTCCACCCATATGATACCCCGGATCATCTATCCACGTGCATCCAATAATAATCCCGACAATTTAACTCCTTTTATTTAATTCAATTTTATTGAAATAATGATTCACTCTATCAACTCGCTCATAATGAACATCTTTTCATGATGCAAATCAAACTTGCCTATTTTATCCAATCAAAAAAACTAAGTGACGCTTTGACATACTCGACAATCAATTGTAATTTGACCAAGCAACCAAGCAATGTCGCACTACATCATTATAAAATAAATAAAGATCTTTATTAGCAAAAAGCGCAGGAAACAAATTTTTCTTAATAAACATTGTACTCAATGAAAGATAGCAGATCTCTTGGCCCCTGTTTTACCTAAAATTATAATCAGATTAAGCTTTAAAAGTTTTAATTGCAAAACACAAGCAAACTCTATGAAGTAAAGCAAAAAGGAAAGCTTATTTTATCAATAAGAAAAAATTGACGATAAGACACAATCTATTTCTTATATAAGCACAAGCAAAGCGTTTTTTTTATTGTCAGCCAAGCGCTCATTGACCATTTTTTGAAAAGAAAACATTTGAAAAGAAAATAAGTAATAACTACAATACCTTCCCTTGTGTTATTTTTAGAAATCAAGTTTTGAACAATTACTAATTTTACTCTATTAATCCGTAGAAAAATGAGCTTTTTTGTTTATTTGCAAAATCAAGCAGCTCTCTATCAAGCTTTGGTTCAAGAATTCCAAACCAAACTGACTCGCAGAGAAATCGAGTATGAAACAAATAATTTCAATTTGTACTCTGGAAATGAAACAAAAAAAAAATCAAAACATATTGAAAGCTGGGCTAAATCTCCTCACAAAGTTACCAAAATGCCCTACCACGAAACTCCAAGATATCAAAAAAGCTTCAAGCCACCTATTGAAGAAGAATATTTAATATTAACTGGACTAGACGAAGACTCAGACAAGGCAAAGGTTATTATTTGCTACTCCTATAAAAATACCAGAAATATAAAAAAAAACAAATATGCAGAAGTCACTGCTAGTGTTGTTAGGCAAAACCTAAAGGTTTTGCCATTGGCAAAAGTCAAAACTAGTTTCGACTTTTGCCAAAAAAAAATTAAAATGGCAAAATGGCAAAACTGTCAAAACTGGCAAAACTGCTAAAATGTTAAAAACTGAAAAAAACAATAAAATTAGTAAAAATAAAAAAAACTAGTAAACAAGAATAGAAAAGTTATTAAAAAAAAGTAAAATCTTTTTATCTAATTATCAATCTTTTTATTAATATTACTATCTAGATAACCTACCTACAGATGCCCAGTTTTGGATCTTGGAATAGATATAATTACTACAATCCCGACAAGTCATAATTCCGACAAAAAATCCCAATAATCAAATCCCAACAATCAGAAATCATTGTCAGAATTTTCAAGTAGAAAATTCCGAATATGGGTATGTTTAAAGCGAAGTAACCTCTTATAATTTAATTAACTTTAAGGTTAGGTCACTTTAGATAAGAATTAGGCTAGAGTTAGATTATTTTCATCAGAATTTTTAATTGTCGGGATTTGTAACTGTCAGTTTTTTTGCTGCCGTGATTTTTGCTGTCGGGATTTTTTTGTCAGGATTTCGCTTGTCTGGATTTTGACCCATAGCCCTTTTACCCAACCTAATATTTAATTTTAACCTAACACAAATTTATTTTGTCACGTATAT